CCACCAGGGAGGGCCATGAGTGAATATTTTAAGTATTTCTAGTTTTCAACATAAAAAGCTCAAAGGGGTAAAAATAACATGTGTTCCTTTTTATTTCCTGATAACATCCAGTGCTGTTACCCTGCCTGTCACAAGCTTAAGATGATTATTGAATAAATTGACAATTTATACAACTGAATACTGAGTTTCATGGGCAATGAGCAGTGGTTTCAGTGTGAGTTTGATCCCCAGTCTCAGAGGTGATCCCCATGGCACAGCAAACCACTCCTGGAATGCCACTTCTCCTATCAGTAGTGTATTTCAATCTTTCTGTTCTGCTCCCCACTCTGTCTCTGGTGAATCCTTTCACTGCCCCTGCACTTCTGCCTGTACCCCAGTTCTGTATGCATAATAAAACTGTTTTCCATATTCTGTGAATCCCATCCACCCATTTTTCTTAATTACTTAACAAAAAGGGTAATCCTTAAAGTGTTACTGGTTTACTAGCAGTAAATATCATTGTAAGCAAAGGCCTTACCTTTATGAGGGAAAAGACGAAAGGGAATTAGTTTTTACTGCCAGCTGTGTGCCAGAATACTGTGTCTACTAACATTATCTCCTCGAATCCTTACAACAACCTGCAAGACTGGTATTATTCACTGATGAGATAACAGTCTGAGCCAGAGTTATCTGACTCCAAGCCCATCCTGTCTCTATCACGTTGGCCGCAGATTTGGCACTAACAACTCAATGATAAGAGCCTAGTGTGGTGCCTGGCACATACCTTAGGAAATGTTCCTCTCAACAGCCTTGGACACCCTTAGTCACCCCCCATTCTCCTGTTGGAAACATACCTCCACCAATAATTTGCTTTTGTCATTCTTTTAATAGGACCTAGGACAGTGATCCACCCTAAAGCACGAATTATTGCTGAGGCCGGGCCAATTGTGATTGGTGAAGGTAACTTAATAGAAGAACAGGCGCTTATCATAAATGCGTGAGTAAGAGTTTTACAGGTACTCTGAGCTAAGTGCCATAGATAGTGTTTTTGTTAATTTTGGCTCTCTATAGGAACCTTTTACATCTGGAAAGTTTTCTTAGAATATTAAGGATTTTTTTTTTAAAGATTTATTTATTTATTCATACAGAACTGGGGTACAGGCCAGAGATGTGGAGGGTGAGAGGATTCACCAGAGACAGAGTGAGGAGCAGAACAGGCAGATGGACAAAGTACACTGCTGAGGGGAACAGCGGGCGGATCAGGAGAGGTCTGCCACACCATGTGGTCAGGCGGCGGGGCAAGTGGGGATCAAACTCATGCGGAAGTGGCTTAAGCTTAGTGCAGTGCTTTAACCCGCTGTGCCACCAGGAAGGGCCAAATATTAAGGATATTTTAAAGAGGTAACCAGGAAACGAGAAAACCAAAGATCAAATATGTGAAGAGACTTGTCCAGGGTGAGGTAGCACTTTGAAATCTTTTGGTTATGACTGAAATGTTAGTCCTCAGGACCACACATGTGAACTTAATTCTCATATATATTTTCACGTACGTAGTAGGGGTAATATTCGAAACTGTGTTTGAAGGATTTGGGGTGCTAAAGGCAGTTTCTAAAAGTTAAAAATTTTAAAACATAACAAAATACTGAAACATGTACATGTTAAGCTATGTTACAATAGTTACAAAATTTTTATAAGCATTTGTAAGGCTTTATAGATAAAATGTTGGCAGGCTATTTACGCTTATACCTAATTTATAGCAGTAATGTATGGAATTTGTAAGAAAAACCTTAGGAAAATATTTAAGTGTGATAAAGAGATTGATTTGTCTTAATGTTTACTTAGGATTTGGGAGTTTCTTAATATGTTATTTTTTTCTTAAATTATATTTTGGCACCTTGAGTGTAAGTCAGTTAACAATATATTGCAGTAACTCAGCTGTCAGAGATAAAATACCATTTAAATGGCTTCCTCCTCTTAGATCATATTTTATGTTCCAGATATTTCCATTAGCTACTAACAGCATCAAATAATTATTTTATGTGAATACTTATTTATGTTTCACAATCTCAAATGATTGTTAAGAATGGAAAGATTTTTAAGATAGACATAATTTTGATTCCAGTTTAAAAAGTCAAAAGTCATAGCCAGCGTCTTCTTTACCTGTCCTGAGGAAGGCTCTCTGAGGCTGGATTTAAAAAAAAAAAAAAGGAAAACGCATACACCAATAACTTATTTATATTTCACTAGCACTTTTTTCAACTCAGAATTAAGCCTTCTCAGCATACAGGAATAATAATTCATTTGGTGTAAGAAATAATTTATAGAGTTACATATTTTAAGCTTGATGTAAACAAAATTGAGAGAACAAATTCTAAAATAGAACATTACTTATTGCATTATTGACTTTTGGTTATCTCTCTTTTTTTGTAGTCACCCTGATAATATCACCCCTGACACTGAAGATCCAGAACCCAAACCTATGATTATTGGTACCAATAATGTGTTTGAAGTTGGCTGTTGTATCCTTTACACTAATTTAAGATCAAAAACAGAAGTCATTTATTTATTGTTGAGACATATTTAAAGTAAAGCTTTACTTTCAGACTGTTTTGGATTTCTGGAGCAAGGAGTCCTGGCCTGCTACCCTTTGTGGCCTTTCCTTTGCCTCTTTCCTCTCCCCCCAGTGTTGGGTAACAACACTGAATTTTGGGGGTAAGAAGATGAGAAAATCGTTTTCTTAACTCAGGTTCATAGATTCCCAAGCCATGAAAATGGGAGACAATAATGTTATTGAATCAAAAGGTAAGCTGTATTTGGAGTTTTATTGTGAAAAACAGGCTTTTCTTTTCTCTTGGTGGTATCCTGGAACACACCCTCTGTACACACAGTGGCCAACTGTTGTGCTAGGAGGGAAGGTGTGGTTGGAAATGCACCACAGGAGCTGTGAGGCTCGTTTTTTTTTCTTTTACAGACCTTATTTTAGTATTTTAGAGCTCTTTACCTTACTGAGCAGAGACAGATGTAAGGTAATTATCGTAAGTGGAGCTACAGGTGGGCCACCACCATTTCTAGGCAACAACTTCAACAAACTTGTCCCACTAAAGTCCAGAAAGAACCTGAACAGTGACACTTCTCTAGAACAGAATATCTTTCTTTGTCCTGACTGGCATGTAAGAAAATGCTGCTGCTTTAAAAAATAATAATAATAAACTTATCTTTTTGTTAATATATTTAAGGGTTATTTTAATTTGGATCGCCAACTCTTATCACTATCATTTCTATTCATTATATGTTTGCTGTATATCAAACCTGTGTCTCCTAAGCATGCTCACCACTTTATAGCAAACTGTGTAGTAGGGCGGTCTCTTCATTTAATAAACTTGCTTGAGAATTTATAATGACTGTACAACTAGTCAGCAGAACTGTTTTGAGTCCATTTAGTGCTAGTCTGTGGTACCTGCCTCTATGTTATACATATTCAGAACTGAAAAATTTAAGTTTATTTTTGGGGCAATACCTATATCATCTTAGGGGAAAAAAATAGTGTCTTAATTATTTGATATCTTAAATGACAGTACTTTCTATGTTTATTCTGCAGCATATGTAGGCAGAAATGTAATATTAACAAGTGGTTGCATCATTGGGGCTTGTTGCAACCTGAATACATTTGAAGTCATCCCCGAGAATACGGTGATCTATGGTGCAGACTGCCTTCGTCGGGTGCAGACTGAGCGACCACAGGTACTAGAACTTCTCCCTAAATACAGTTCTTTCTAGAGATGCTAATTTTCATAAAATAGCACATAATTGTTTCAGTAGTAGCAAGTCCACTATTTAAAAAGCAAATGATTAAAACTGGGGTGGGAAGACTGCACAGGACTGTGGTGATGGCACACGGGTGAATTGGTGGTGGGAAGCCCAGGGGGATTACAACTGAGATTGAAAAATGCACAAAATGACGAAAAATATAATAATTTAAAAAATACAGATATTTAATATAAATAAAAAGTAAAGGATTCAAACAAACATCAGGGCCCTCCCTGGTGACGCAGTGGGTTAAAGCACAGCTCTAAAAGCTAAAGCCACTTCAGCATGAGTCGATCCCTG